ATATATCGGTCCTACAATTCAAAAGGAAGTTTATGCGAGATAACTCCCGAGCTTGCGTGGCTATGCGGTATGTGTATTCGACTTGCGTCCTCAAGGTCTAGGGTTCGGTCCCCCGTGCGTGCGATATTTTTCCGTCTTAGTTTTAAGTGTTTTGTGTATAATTCTTAACAGTGTTACATAAAGTATAAGTTTAAATAATTAATAACCAGTAATAATAATAATTTAGTCATTAATTTAAATAAATAAGATTTAAATAAATAATGAAAAAATAAGAAAAATATTTTTTTTAAACTTATTTTAATAAAAGGAATTCTAATAATTAATTAATAATAATTAATACTAATAATAATTATTAGTATTCAATAAATTACTCCCCATGCTTTAATAATTAAATAAGGAGCTTATACTGACCGCCGGTAAAAATCAGTACTGGACAGCGTTACCAGCCAGGGTTTTCCCAGTACTGACTTAGTACTGGAGTCAGTACTGCAATACTGGCAGTCAGTACAAGATCAGTACTATGCCAGTATTACATTTCTACTTGGGATAAAACGTTATGTTTAGTAGAAATAATTAAATATATTAATAATATATATTATTATATACTAAATAATAATATTTATTCGCCAAAATGTGACTATCAAATAAACACAATTTAATAGCTTCAACAAGAGTATTAAAATTGATTTCTTCTGAATCAATTGACATTTTCCACTTGACATGCCCAAAAATACTAGAAAAAAAAAATCAAAACAACATTTAAATAGTATGCCTGCAAAGTCGTATTTTTTATGCTGCCCAGATGGGTGTTGACACCGTCTTACAACTGGTGATATGCTGTGTCTCACACCCAGAAATTGGCGCTATTTTGAAAAAGGAAAATTAAATTATTTTCAACCGTAGATTGGAACAATGCAATATTGCATCACAAAATATAAGGAAAACACTAAAAGAAAATGCATTACATTTACCTTTTCCAATTAATTAACTTGGAAAAAAAGTACTTTGCATTTATTGAAAAAACGCTTTTTAGTCGATTATCACACACAGTGTTGGTATTTAACAAAAACAGTTTATATATCCGCTTCGGCGTACACGAAAAAGTTGGCTCATATAAAAAGAAATGTTTTTATATAAACCAAACGGCTTTTTAATATTGCATGTTAAAAAAATTGACTGTCTCACAACTGGAGGTGTCTCACAACTGGAGACTCTCCCCTAGTATATCGCGAGTATTATTATTATTATTCCTTGCGATAGTAAACATTTCCATCAGTAAAACTAAAGCTGGTGCCTTCCAATACACTTGTATGAGTTTATGTTAGTGTGCATTTATATATCGAGACTCATAGCTTTAGTTCTATAAAAGTAAGACGATTTACATTTTATTTTGACAACTATGAAATTCGATAAAGAGATTTTTTATTTGGAAAACATTCTATACTCTATGCAGCTGCAAAGTTATTCTTAAAAGATAATACACAAATCATAGGGTTTTTGGTTTCAATTGCAGTGACGCTCCGGGTTTGGAAGCGTCCAGGCATTTTCTGTAAAAATTATATATGATATTAATTTTTAAGTAAAATCTTCAATCTATTAAAAAAAATTACTCTTATGCAGAAATATTAAAATTATGTTCTTTTTGATCCATTAAATTATTTTTGCAGACAAACAAAAATTCTCTAGCCTTAAGGGGACCGTACACCACTTTTGCGTGTTTTTTCAACATTTATTTTTTCAAAATAAAATATATCGAAACACTGGTCTCTTTTCACACATATTAACACACATATTGAGGATTAGGAAAAAAATATTTTTTTATTTATTCTGCCCTTCATGGCGACAAAATGGCGGCTGAAGTGATTGTCCGGAAAAAACTAGTTGACACGATATCTCTGCTTCAAAATGTCGAAAACAAAAAATCCAAAGAATTTCTTAAAATATATGTCAGTGGCTATGGCATGAACCACAAAAAATAAATTTGAAAAAAATGAGAAACTGGCGGCGGTTTAAATTTTTTACCCCTTTTTCACCCCTGAAACGGTTTAAAAATGGGGTTAAAATGGATGTAGAGTGTAGGTTCTGGTTCATGCCATAGCCACTGACATATATTTTAAGAAATTCTTTGGATTTTTTGTTTCCAACATTTTGAAGCAGAGATATCGTGTCAACAAATTTTTTCCGGACAATCACTTCAGCCGCTATTTTGTCGCCATGAAGGGCAGAATAAATAAAAAAATATTTTTTTCGTTATCCTCAATATGTGTGTTAATATGTGTGAAAAGAGCCCAGTGTTTCGATACATTTTACTTTGAAAAAATTAATGTTGAAAAAACACGCAAAAGTGGTGTACGGTCCCCTTAAGTTTTTGTAACGTAAACTGAAAATTGGGGTTGTTTGGCACTGTAGACGACGTTTAACACCACACCAATGAAATTAAAGTAAAACTAGCCGCGCACAAGGCTCGGAATAAACTGTCAGATAGATAAAATAAAGTACCTATGGGTTAAAGTCCTAGACCCAACTATAAAAGTTTATAGATCCTTAACATTTATATCAATGTTTAAATTTCATTTTTTCGAAAAAAATAACATATCATTGAAATTGTTAGATATTGTAGATTCTGATCAAATTCCATAAACCCCCCCCCCCCGAAACTTTTTTTTGGCTATGTCCCTGATAAACCAAATGCTTGCTGGTGGACAACTAACAAAAATTGACCAATCAAAATACAAGTTACTTGAGAAAAGGATAAAAAAAGAAAATGGCTTTGTTCAAAGTGACTTTAGTGACAGTTGAAATGTGCTTGACTTTGTAGCTGTGACAACTGGCGTCAACCGCGACTGTCCACGTGTATATAATCGGGTGTAAATTACCAGAGTGCAAATAAAATCTCACACAGCACCGAGAATTTCTCGAAACTAGACAGGACCTCTCCCAGCGAGGTTAGAAATATTGCGTGGTAAAACTCATGGACCAAAAAAAAATAATTTAAATTTTAGACTATTCTTCTTCTTTTGCAGCATTTTTTCCTCTTATATATGGGCACTAAAGTTTTCATTTCTAATTGAGAGGATTTTCCTCTTTTATATTTTCCATTAAATGTCACTTTTTAAACAGTTTGAAGGTGCGTTCATAAAAACAAAAAACATAGCTTAAAAATCTTCTTTCTAGTATAAATTTGTTTCAATTTGAGAGGAATAATTTCAATCAAAGAAGAAAGGTAAAAATTCATCTTTTAGTTAAAAAACTTTAAAATATAAACAAAAATTCCTCTTTTTGTAAATGAATATTCGCATATTAAAAATAAAATGTAAAAATAATTGTTAAGCGGGATTTTCTTCTCACTTTGAGATTTTATTTATTTCAGTGTGGAGAATGTGAGGTTATTTAAATGTCCGTGTATAAGGAAATATAGAATATCAAACTTGAGCAAAAATTTTACTGTAACTTGCCATGTTCAGGCAATATTGTATATCAATATTGCATTAAATATTCGCCCAATTATTAAAATTTCGTCTGCTAATATAAACTGAGCGATTTCCTGTCAAGTTTCAAGAAATTCTCGGTGCTGTGTGATTTTCATGTAAATCACTTATAATGTAAAATTTGTCTTAAAACTTTATTTAATTTTAATTATTACTTTCCTTTATTTCACTTACTTATAAAATAAAAAATTGACTTCATGAGCATCAAATTTGCCATAAATACCAATATTTAAAGTCAAACACCTTTCTATACCTAACTTAAAATTATGTGCTTTTCAATTCCTTTCTATACCTTGGTCAAAGTTTATGTGACGATATTAAAGGGAATTAAAAAATTTTTATTTGTATACTCATATTGGGAATTCAAAACTCAGGACAAAAAAGGAATTAAAAGGAATTCAATTTTTTCAATACTTTCTAATGCAAGCCTTTTTACCGGGTTTCCATAAACCTGAGTCTAAAGGGTCATAAAAAATTAGAAAAATTTTTATAATGTATTTTTAAAATTTTTAACAAATTATTCAGAATCTACAATATCTAACGATTTCAATGATATTTTATTTTTTTTTGAAAAAATGAAGTTTAAACATTGATATAAATGTTAAGGATCTATAAACTTCTAAAGTATTCAATTTAACTGTCCCTTAATTACAATTGATTTCAATGTATCAGAGACAAAAGATATATACTGTCTGAATCGTATTAACATAAGGATTTCATATCTTCTTGATGTAGAAGAGTGAAATACGAAATTGTCACTGGATATGCACTTAAGAAAAAAAAGTAGTAAAACGCCATTTTCAAAATTTTCTCCGCCTTGAAAGAAAAAAATCTGCGCGAGCTAGCGAGGGCATTCTCTCTTTGAACAGAGTATAGACTAATGAAATGTTTCAGTTGTCCTAAGACATATGCATGAGAGATAGGAGTGGGGATTTCAGGGTATAAATTCAGGATTTCTGGTGTATTTAATCATTTTTAGGGTTTCGTGGTCAAGGGCCGAAAACCTTATAGCGAGATTCCGGTGTCCGTCCGTAGTTTTCCCTAGCAACCGTTGCTATGGTAACCGTTGATACGGTAATGGTTGCTAAGGTAATGATTACTATAGCAACCGTTGCTATGGTAACCAAAGAAACTACAAGATTTTGCGTGAAAGTAAAAATTCTTAATTTGTGTGGTAATTTTCTATTTCTTAAAAATTAATAATGTCCGTGGGATTTAAGATTGATTTTTTTATTTATTCTTTTTATCGTTTCAGGCCACGAAACCGTAAGACGTAGGCGCATTGCGCCTGCTTCTCTCACTGATTTTTCTACTATTTACAAGATCGCCAGGCGAGATCCCTGATTCAGTCACGTTAAAGTCATTACATGTCTTCACGCATTCTAGACGGTAAACCCAAGATCATTATTAGACTCGCTTCAAAAATAGTTGGACTTCTATCACTCAGGCGCAATTCTCAAATAAAAAATCTAAGAACTAAAAATACTCCCAGAAAAAATTTTACTAAATAAATAATTTCCTCAGAATATACATATTTATTTATTTATTTATTTATACAGATAATTTGAGCGAGTAATTTTCGCCATGTCAATGCTATATACTTTGTGTGCATATTACATCAAAAAACGACATTCACATAATATAACTATTATCTTTGGAGCAATATTGTACAAGAAAAAATCTTGTCATTTAATTTAGTGCATTATTATACAGTTTTTGTTTTACACGAGCACCTTTTATTTATGCACTTTACACAGAAAAAAAATTAATCACACAACTAAAAGTGTATTGAAGGTAAAATCATCGCACATGAATATTATTGGTCAAACTAAAATACAAATATGATAAAAAAATTATTAAAATAATTAGTTCCTAACACTGGCTCGAATTTCGTTTTATCAAATTACATACTGTTTTGTACAATACATAATTAATCTTATGGTAATTTTATAAAATCTTGTAGACTGAAAAGGATAAACTAATCATACTCATTTGGTGTACAATATACAATAGGTTGACACACTTTAATTGTAAAAATTAATTGAAAATTGATTCTATATGGACAAACTATTAATATGGATAGACTATTCATCGTATACTTAATCTGTAAAAATTCCTGTTTTTACAATTCTCATATAATTATTTTAATCTATGCAGATTTCTGTCAACTCGGTTATGGAATTTTTTTTGCCGTATTTCTTTTCAAGTGAAAAATATTTATTTTTTGAAAATATTCTTTCGTTATTCTCTATTATGTATGTATCTATACTGATTTATTCAAACATTTTTTAATAATATGTATATGAGATAGTATATTTTGATTTATTGATAGTTAAACAGATTCTCGTTCTCTTCTATAAATACAAAATATAGAAGATAAGACTGTTTTAAATTTTCATATTTTTGAATTTACAATCTGATGCTACATGGATATTGTTAAGTATTTAGGAGAAGGAAAATGTAGCTACTATATTATTAATATTTCAGTGATTTAAATATTGTTTTATGTTGAGGAAAAATCAATGTTTTATATGGAATATAATGAATGATATCAGTGGATGGAAAAAAGAAATTTTTTTTGAAGATCTAATTTTTTTTCTTCTTTTGAAAAAAATTTTGTTAATTAGTGTAATTTTGCTTCTAAATTTTGAAGCCTTTCTCAGCAACTTCAAGTGGAATTCATAGTAATTGCGCGACAGTGCTCCGCGTTCACATCTCTCACCATTAAATGCCTGGAATTTGGAGTTTGTTAACCACATGACTTGATGCGAAGTCGCATTCCGGCATTCAAGTACACAGATCGATTGATCTGCGTTAAACTCCAGGTTGCTTTGGATGTTGGGAGCTTACGGTCGTTACTTGAGTCTATTATATAAACCTCCGCGCTCCCATCATTTTGCTCACGCCTGTTTTTGATGATGCACCGCTGAAGCCGGTGATTCTGTACGGAAACAGGAAAGTAGAAATCCAGTGTACAATGCAAATAATATAGCAACAGCTATCAGCATGTACATATAGATATTTAATTCAGGCTGTCGGAATCTGTTTTTTCGTAGCCAATCCAATACATCTTGTTCGTTGTGAATGTCACCTATATAATTTCCCAAAAAAATGATTTTATGAAAATATTACAAAATGCCAAAATCATTGTCAGCTAATTATTATTTTAAAATTATTCGACAATGTTCTCATTCAACAAGAAACAATTTTTATTTTAATAACGGAATAAAATTTAAAGATAATATGTTTGCGAATTTTTGTACTTTTAATCAACTTTTTTAAATAATTTCGTTTCCTAAAAAAATTTAAAAAATGCATCAGTAAGCTGAAATGCAAATTAATTAAAAATATGAATTGCACGATAAGCAAACTATTTCATTTTAAAATTATGAATGTAAAATACGAACAATGATATAAATATAATTTTAGTTCAGAAAATTCCAACATACAGTCATTAATAATAATTAAATTTTTTGATTTGATTAAAATTGGTTTGAAGGAAAAATATGCGGATATTTTAATGAATTTAAAAAAAGAAATTTTAAAATATGAATGAGTTCAAATATATTGAATATCAATACCTCGATAAATACTGGGAAAACGTTTGCGGAAATACACAATGGCAGGAAGTTTTGTCACTCCCCATTTTCTGGCATATCGAGGATCTGCCATTTTCACAAAAGTGATATCTAAGTTTTCTGTTTCTTCGTCAATTTCTTCGAGTTTCTCATTCACTGCGGCACTCTCTTTACTGTCGTGATCATCTGCTCGTTTTTGAGGGATAAATGGGAAGAAAAATTATTTTCTAAGTATTTTCATCAAAATTGAATAAGGGTGAGAGAATCGCCATGATAATTAAATGAAATATTAATGATAAATGAAGACTCACAAAAAAATACGGCGAGAAATTCATTTTCATCTAATAGTTTATCCAACATTTTCTTATTAACTTCGTCAATTTCATTTTTAAGGACAAAAACATCTTGTGATGTGAGCCATGACAATATTTTGTCTTCCTGAGTTAGGTCGCCATCGTAAATAAGCGGCTCCTTCTTACGGAAGTAAACCAGTGACGGAAGATTGAGAATACCATATTTTTCAGCTGCATCAGACTCTGAGACTTTGACAAAGTCAATTCCAAATAAATCAGCGTCACCATCGATTTTCTCTAAAGCTTCTATTATTTCGTTGCATTCGGGACAACCTTCCTCAACTGAATATTATAAATTAACATAAATATTTAATTATAGCTTGCTATTTATCAGACTTAATGGTCGGGAATTAAATTCTATCATTTACGAAATATAATACTAAATTATTAGAATTGAAAAATGATTATTTAAGGATTAATTAAATATTAGGGGGCTGAAATGATTTTTTTTTGGTGACTCACAGAAAAAGACAGCAAGAAATGGTGATTCGTCTAATAAACGTTCCAACATTCGTGCATTAACTGCTTCGATTTCGTCCTTCAATTCACGAACATCATCATCGCAGAGCCATTCAAGTACTGACATTTCATTCTGCAGATCTCCTGCAATAAATAAGGAATAACAATTTTTTTGTAAAATTTTAGGAGAAGAAGGATTATTGCATCAGTTATGCAAATTCAGAATGGCGGATCCAATTTAACGGACAATGAAAATTGAAAATCTATCAAATTGTCATGATAGTTCTCCCTTTGGGGGTTTTTTGGGTTGCTGTTTACGAATCTGAAATGAGTTTTTCAAAATTAAAAAAACTGACTTCAGATTGGTAATCGGTGATCCTGAAAACCCCCAAGGAGCAAATTTCAAGCAAATTTAATTGACTTTTGATTTCTTTGTCCGCCATATTTAATCCGCTATTTTGAAATTTCGAAAACTGCCTTAATGTCGCAATCAGCAACCCCAAAAACACACGAGTACAAATTTTAAGCGAATTCGTTTGATTTTTAATTTTTCTCCGCCATTTTGAAATTAAAAAAACTGACTTGCGATTTGTAATCAGCCAGACCAAAAACCACGAGTAACAACTTTCAAGCAAATTTTTACTTAATTTTTTATATTTGATTTCAGAGTAGTTTCCAAAGTATTTTTATCAGCTAAACACGATCTCAGATGAAAAAATTGCCTAACACGTTAAAGTTTTAAAAAATAACAAAAAAAAAAGTTCATGAAACCATAAATATTTCAGAATAAAGAATAACCGACTCTAGAACTTTTTTTAAGGTATTTCTCCGGCTGCTACTCTTGTAAAAATTGATTTTCGATAAATTTTCTTCAAATTTTGAGAAAATGATTCTTCGGGTGACTTTTAAATGTGGTAAAAATTTCAAACCCCTTTGCGATGCTAAATTTTGAGTTATTCAAGTTCAAACTTTCACTTTTACATGCAATTATGTTAAAAATAAAAAATGTCAACCACAATATCTCGTTCTTTGACATGGCAAAGGGTTTTGAAATTTTTACCACATTCAAAGGGCACCCAAAGAAACATTTTCTCAAAATTTGAAGAAATTCTATCGAAAATCAATTCTTACAAGAGTAGCAGCCGGAGAACTACCTTAAATTAGTACAAAAAACTACAAAAACTAATACACGTTTAGAAATTCGAACATTTATCTTAATGGATTTTGAATTCAGTCCAAATGTGGAATTCATTGTTGCTACTGACCTTCGAACAAAAGAGGATTTCCATTTCTAAAATATACGAGAGCTGGGAATGTTTTAATAGAATATCTCTTGGCAAGTTGTGGATCTTGTATTCGTACAACATGAATACCGAATAAATCACATTCATCATCGATTTGCTCTAAACCTTCTAATATTTCATCACATATGTGACAATTTTGTTTATCTACAAAAAAGTAGTTTCTTTCAATTAGAATTAATTTTAAACAAAAAGAAAAATTGAACTCGTTTTTTGTTAATCTTACAGAAATAAACAGCAAGATATTGAGTGTCCTCAACTGATGATTCAAGCATTACTCTGGTTATCAATTCTATTCGATCCTCAGTTTTTTGGGTAATTAACCATTGAAGTACTTCCTCTTCCTCTGACAAACTGCCTGTTTGTTAAAAAAGCAATTTTTTTTTAATTAGTTGTTAATTTTTATTTTGAATAAATAGAACAACTTGAAAAAAATACCTTCGAAAACATTTGGTATTTGATTCTTGAAGTATACTAATACCGGAAATTCGGTAGCTCCATAATCTTCTGCTATTTTGTAATCCTATTAATGGAATAAAAATAGAAACTATAAGAAAAATTCAAAAATAAAAAAATTTGTAAACTAAAAAATTTTTTAATTAAATTGAGAATAGAGTTTTGAAATTAAAAAAATTTTAAATAAAATTTGTTTCAACCTACTTGTGTTTTAACGAAATGAACACCATGTCGATCGCAATCATCATCAATATTTTCCAATTCCTCCAAAATTCCAGTGCATTGTTCACAATCGTCGCTATCTGTGGAAAAAGAAACTTCCTCTCTGAAAATCTCACTTGTTACAAACTCCCCGAAACAAATAAATGACGGGTGTCAATATTTATCAGTAACTAATACTGTTTTCATTTTACAAATAACAAATTTAAACAGAAAAAGGAAACTACATTAAGACACTTTTACAAATTGTTATACTAAGAGACTAATTACTATAGAGAAACTGTATTATACATCAGAGAGAAAATGTTAACAATTTTCTTAACATCTATCATGAATGAAAATATATAATAGTGAATAAAAAAGAAATTGTAGCTAGCAAGCGTACTAAAGTCTTGCTTTTTTGCTTTACACATAGAGTAGTACAAACACAAACATTCAAAAGCAACCTTTGAAAAATTCAATGAAAAAGGTCGACAAATAAACAAGCGTAAGAAGAAGAAGAAAAGAAGTGTTAGGATAGTGTGAGAGCTATTGAAAATTAAAAAATTACAATCTTGTGAAAGTGAATAAATAAATTATAAAAGAATCAAATTAATTAATTAATTAACCGAAAGTTTTCGTTAGAGGGGGAAAAGTGAAATATTTTCGTAAAATGTGAAATTCAATTACAAACTTTGGTAAAAAAATGGAGATTCCCTGAGTTAATGGATTTGGGGTCTGCTTTTTAGATTTTAAATTTAAATTAATATTTCAAACAATGTAAGTACAACAAAGAAGATCAAAATGAAAAAAGTTAAAAAGGTCAACTGATAACTTTCTTAAAATAATTAGTAGAATCGAGTATTGCACTCTTGAGGCATGTACATTTTCATACCTAGAAGAAAAATACTAATAACTTTTGTAATAAATGTTAAGTGATACCTAATCGAAGCATCGCATAAAGACAACTGATGCTTTTCTATCTACAACTTTGTCTTTTAAAAACCGAAAAAAAAATGACAAATTATGTTTAAAAAATAAACGACGTTTCTACTTAAACCTAAAGACAACTGACAATAGGACCTAATTTTTTTGTAATTAGAATAGGACAACTGATAACTTTCTTAAAATTATTATTAGGTATCGTTGATGCACACTATAGGCAAAAATAATTTTATTCGGAGAAGAAGAATAACTAAAAAAATGTGTGCTAAATGTTTAGTGATGTTCATTTAAAGCATAAAAGCAACTGACAATTAACAACTGCCAACAAATCCTAATTTTTCGTAATAAAAAATAACAGATTATTTCTTGGTTAGTGCTTGGAAAAATTCGATTCAATGCATAAGGACAACTGATAACTTTATACCAACTACTTGGATCGTCTTTTGCATTATAAAAACAACTGATAGTTTTCCACCTACTACTTACAATTAGATGATCTTTACTTCTTTAGGCTTTAAAATTATAAAGACAACTGATAACATTCCACTAACTTCTTGGATCCATTTTCAACTAACGAATAGAATTGATCAATCGGTAGGAGATTAAAACTTCGTTTTTTGTTTCGGAATAAAAACAACTGATAACTTTCCGCTATTTACTTGGAGAAGTGAGCCTTTTGAAGAGTAAACAAAACTGATAACTTTTTGAAAAACTTTTTGAATGACAATATTTTTAGAAACATTATGACAACTGATAACTTTTTGAAAAACTTTTTGAATGACAATATTTTTAGAAACATTAGGGGTCGTCCATATACCACGTGGACAGTTTAGGGGGGAGGGGGGGTTCGCCAAAAATCCACGATTTTCCACGAGGGGGGAGGGGGGGTCAATACAAATGTCCACGTGGACACAAAAGTTTAATTTTATATCTTTTTTTTCTTTTTATTCAACTTTATTATTAGATTATTATTAGATTGTGATCAGACAATATTTGTAATCCGAAATTTATTTAACTGTCAAAAAAACGCCAAATTCTCTTTTAATTTATATTACAAAATCATTATCGTAAATGCATAAATATGAATATATGCAAATTTGACAATTAGGAATACAAAGCAACCTCTACAAACTCTTACAAATTTAAAAAAAAATAATTTCTATTATTGTTTATGTGAAGGCTTAAAGCTATTGGATTTTAGAAAATTTAAGATTTGTTACCGAAGAGATTAAGTATTTCTACTAATATAATAATTGAAGATATATTTTTGCCAAAGTCCTCTCTATAATACTAAAAATGGTATTTACATATTTAATAATATTTTAAGATAATTTAATCTTTATTGAATTTTAAAGAAGTTTATTATAAAAAAATTTAAAAAAATTTTTAATTGTATTTCTTATTAAATATCTTTTTATTATTCACTATTTTAAAATAAAAAACCCGATTGTCCACGTGGACAATCAGGGGGGGAGGGGTTCGTCAAAAATCCACGATTGTCCACGAGGGGGGATGGGGGGTCAAAAAGTGTCTAAAAAGTGTCCACGTGGTATATGGACGACCCCTTATGATAACTGATAACTTTCAGCTAAAATTTCAGTATTTTTTTAACAGCATTATTAAAACTGGCAATTTCTACTTATGGATTTAGTTACATTTCTTTTGAAGTATGAAGACAACTGATAACTCTACACTGACAGTTTATTATTTATTCTTTGGAAGCATAAAAACAACTTCATATTTATGTATAAGTACAAAGATAACGGATAACTTAATGCAACAAGTAATTTTTCAGCTCCAAGCATAAAGACAACTTATAACTTTTTGCTGACAGTTTAATATTTATCAATTAAAAGCATAAAAACAAGCAATAACTTCTAGTTACGAAACTCATTATATTTTTTAAATATAAATAAAATAAATAAATTTTTCTGAATAGTTTGGTCAAATTTTTTTTCGATACATTCTGACAACTGAAAACTTTGAGCAAAGATTTAAATATTTTTTAGAAAGTCCTATAATGACCAGCAGTTTTTAATATCAGTTAGTTAATGATTTAACTAACTTATGTCTAACTAACTAATCTAACTTCCTTATGTCTAAGGAATTAGTAACGTTTTTGAGCATAAAAAAAAGAAATAAATTTCTATTTGGTCATATTTTATCCGAAACATAAAGACAACTGACAACTTCTAGTATGAAATAAGTCACACTTTTTGTACTTAATAAAAACAACTGATAACTTTTCTGTAGATAACACAGCCACACAAAAAAAATAAAGTATCTTGATCTGGGGTCAAGACATATGTATTCCGCTGTATTTCGATGCGCTGAATCCGAATCCACCATCAGAATTTGGCCAATAGGTCCTGGTTTCGCCCTAACCTCAAAAAATACCCTAAGATCGTTAAAATGATCACTTTTGAATTATCAAAATTAAATCTAACCGCATATTAATATTTTTCTAAGATCCCTTAATTTAAATAAACTATTCTATAAGCTTTTCAATTGAAAATTCATATAAAACATTAAATCTATCGAACCTAACCTCAAAAACACATCTAAGATTCCAAACAAACAAATTATACCATACACAGCGCAATAAAAAATAGGTAAGCTCGTGAAAGTTACAACTTATGTGTTTCCATGACTGCTGATTACAAAGCCGGTGTTAGTTTATCAAAATTCAAAATGGCGGATCAAATATAGCGAACAATATAAATCAAATTTGTTTGGATTAGCTTGAAAATCGTTACTCGGGGCTTTTCGGAGTCGCTGATGACGAATCCCATGTCGGTTTCTAAGAATTCAATATGGCGGATCCAATATGGCAGTCTTTATTATTTTAACGATTTTTTAAAATTTATTACTCGCGGTTTTTCGGGACCTTTAATAACGAATCCTATATCAATTTTTATAATCTTAAAGTCTTACGAATTGTTAGAAAAAATTGTTAGAAAAGAATTCGTAAGACTTCAAGATTATAAAAATTGATATAGGATTCGTTATCAAAGGTCCCGAAAAACCGCGAGTAATAAATTTAAAAAATCGTTAAAATAATAAAGACCGCAATATTGGATCCGCTATTCTGAATTTTTAGAAACCGAAATGGGATTCGTCATCAGCGACTCCGAAAAACCCCGAGTAACGATTTTCAAGCCAATCCAAACAAATTTTATCTATATTGTTCGCCATATTTGATTTGACATTTTGAATTTTGATAAACTAACACCGGCTTCGTAATCAGCAGTCATAGAAACACATAAGTTGTAACTTTCATGAGCTTACCTATTTTTTATTGCGCTGTATATGGTATAATTTGTTTGTTTGGAATCTTAGATGTGTTTTTGAGGTTAGGTTCGATAGATTTAATGTTTTATATGAATTTTCAATTGAAAAGCTTATAGAATAGTTTATTTAAATTAAGGGATCTTAGAAAAATATCAATATGCGGTTAGATTCAATTTTGATAATTCAAAAGTGATCATTTTAACGATTTTAGGGTATTTTTTAAGGTTAGGGCGAAACCAGGACCCATTGGCCAAATTCTGATGGCGGATTTGGATTCAGCGCATCGAAATACAGCGGAATACATATATCTCGACCCCAGATCAAGACACTTTATTTTTTTTGTGTGGCTGTGTAATAATTATGTTCATTTGGAATACAAAGACAACTGACAACTTATAACTTTTCAAGAAGAGTGATTATGTTTGTTTGGAACATAAAGATAACTAACAACATTCAACTCGTAAACTATTAACTTCTCTTTTGAAGTAAACGGACATTTGATAATTGTCCAAAAAGAGTGATTATAAAAAAACAACCCTATTGAAAATCTCCATATAGGAAACCACATGGGAAACCACATGGGATCCTATGTCAAAAACCATGTAAAACCCTACTTCCATGAAGGAAACCACGTGGTTTACCATGTGGTTTCCCATGTCAAACCATATGGGAAATTGAGACAGGATTTTAGTTAGTAATAGACATGGGAAATTTGAACAGTTCATCTGTGCATAAAACCATATCAAATCCCACATGTTTTTCCCAGTCAAATCCTAAACCGAATCCCATGTGAAAAACAGTATCATTTATTTATAATTATTTTCCCATGTCAAATCCTAAACCAAATCCCATGTGAAAAACATTATCCGCCTTATTGAATATCCCTACATGGGAATCCACTTGGAATTTTACAAGGGATTTCACATAGGATTTTATATGGGAATTGACATAGGATTTCATGCAAGATTTCACCTAGGATTTAATATGAGATATCACATAGTATTTTATTAAAGATCCAATGAAGAAATTTTCAAAGGATTAAAAATTATTTAATAAAAAATTAAATAATAAATAGTATTAGTGTTACAAGTCATCAAAAAAGTAAAAAAAACGATCATTTGAAACACGTCCTCTCTGCTACAGGTTCTCAGCTTTTATATACTTCCAGAGTCGTCTCAACAGCGAGAGAAGTCACTTTCGCCACCTAGCGGTGAAAGTATAGGAGCGACAGTAATCTTTATCATTACTAAGGAAACCATGTGGAATACCACGTAGGATTCCATGTGGTTTCCTACGTGAGGATTTACATGGGATTTTACTTAGGAATTCATTTGGGAATTTATTTCTACTTAAATTCCTAAGTAAAATCCCATGTAAATCCCCACGTAGGAAACCACATGGAATCCTACGTGGTATTCCACATGGTTTCCTTAGTAATGTTAAAGATTACTGTCGCTCCTATACTTTCACCGCTAGGTGGCGAAAGTTACTTCTCTCGCTGTTGAGACGATTCTGGAAGTATATAAAAGCTGAGAACCTGTAGCAGAGAGGACGTGTTTCAAATGATCGTTTTTTTACTTTTTTGATGACTTATAACACTAATACTATTTATTATTTAATTTTTTATTAAATAATTTTTAATCCTTTGAAAATTTCTTCATTGGATCTTTAATAAAATACTATGTGATATCTCATATTAAATCCTAGGTGAAATCTTGCATGAAATCCTATGTCAATTCCCATATAAAATCCTATGTGAAATCCCTTGTAAAATTCCAAGTGGATTCCCATGTAGGGATATTCAATAAGGCGGATAATGTTTTTCACATGGGATTTGGTTTAGGATTTGACATGGGAAAATAATTATAAATAAATGATACTGTTTTTCACTTGGGGATTGACTTGGGAAAATAATTATAAATAAATGATACTGTTTTTCACATGGGATTCGGTTTAGGATTTGACTGGGAAAAACATGTGGGATTTGATATGGTTTTATGCATAGATGAACTGTTCAAATTTCCCATGTCTATTCCTAACTAAAATCCTGTCTCAATTTCCCATATGGTTTGACATGGGAAACCACATGGTAAACCACGTGGTTTCCTTCATGGAAGTAGGGTTTTACATGGTTTTTGACATAGGATCCCATGTGGTTTCCCATGTGGTTTCCCATAAGGGGATTTTCAATAGGGAACTTCCAACCAGGAAACTATTAACTTTTGTTTTAAAGGAAAAAAAACAACCGATAACTCAACAACTTTAAATTTATTTAAAGTTTTAAGTAATTTTAATTGTTTTATTTGTATTTCTACGAATGTTAATGTATTTTTTTCAATACTAAGTTTTAAGTTCAATTATCTTTGGAAAAATGGTCCAATTTGTAGATGTTGTCCATAAGCATGAATGTTTAGGTCCACTGATCGCGATACACTTTTTTGAATGACTTGGATCCTTGTAAGTACAACATCGTTACTGAGGAATACTATAGTTATACACTTTTTTTCTAATAAACGTTAAACTTTTACTTTTTTGACAACAACAAAATTTTTTCCCTAATTTTTAGGGACTTTAGGTTTGTTAAAAATACTACAGTGACTTTTAAATATAAAACATCAGACCTTAAAATCCTTTTGGCACAAAGCTAAACCCAAATGTCTACCTAATTATTCAGATCTTTGAGTCAAAGTAATTCTTTTTATTAATATTTATTAATTTCAAGAAAACACGATTTTTATTCAGGGGTTCAAAATGCAAAGAAAAAAACCCAAAGGGTGAAAAAATCTTACAAAATTTTCTTGCAGGATCTCTTTATGGATTCATATTTCTACACTACCAAATCGAAATATGACAAGCTTTCCTTCTCGACATTTTCCAATTGGAGAAAATTTGAAATCAATTTTATTAAACAATTATCGTTTAATTGGAAAACTTCTCTTTTCAATTACAAAACAGAACTTAGTGGGTTTCTAGGGGTCGGTAGGGGGGGTTGGGCAGGAGGGAGGGTATTAACCAGATTCGGTTCTCGTTATATACCATTGACATCTTCACTTGTTTCAGCATCAGACTTCTGTTCCTGCTTGTGGCGCCTCTGCTTGCGGAAAACTTTTGATTGGCACATGTCGCAAAGTGTTCTGTTCCCTACGACATTAGTATACACGAATTTGTACAACTCAGCGCAAAAAGAAGACAAATGAAAAAAACAAAAGAAAAAAAGGAAAGAAAAAGAGAATAAAAAAGCTGGTAGCAGCTTTTATTGTTGACTAGAAAAGTCAACGTATCGATTCATTCTATCGCGTTCACTGCGGTTTTTTCTCTCTCCTAAAAAGAAACCTTGTTTTTTTCTTTGTTTTGTAGAAACCTAAGGGAAACCTTAGATTGTTTCTCAATATACATTAGTCGGTTTTTTTCTTTCTTTTTGAAGAATAATAATTAAAAATTTGGAAATTGAAATTCTTTTGGTGAGAAAATATATATATATATATATATATATATATATATATATATATATATATATATATATATATATATGAGATTCTTTTTTTTCTGTATTAAAGAGACAATTTAAAAAAAAGAAGCGTAAGCGCGACAATTAGATAATTATTGCTGCAGCAGGCAAGAGATACATTCCTGCTTGGCAGATTGTTGAGCCCTTGGGACTGCTCGACTTACAGAAGTAAACCGCTAATGAATCCGATTCTCGAATGAGATGAAGTAAATCCTCGCCCTCTAGTGCCTCAATCACTTCACTCGATGGATCCTTTTGGATCATCAGCCACTGTAAGATTTGTTCCTCCTCGTACAAATCACCTGTGAATTTTTTACAATTTTATCTCATTTTTCTTTCTCTGGGAGAAATTTTAAATCTTTAAAGAAAATATTTACCAGCGTAAATTACAGGTTCCTTTGAGCCCATTTTGAAGAATAGAATACCAGGTAGAGCAAAGACGCCATAATCTTTGGCCAGTTGTTTGTCATCAATTTTGACAAATTTAATCCCAGCACCATCGGCATCATCGTCAATGTGCTCAATTTCGGATAGAACGCGACTACATTGTTTACAGTCGTCACTATCTAAATAACGTCATTATTGAACAAAGGAATCTTAAATTTTTTCATTGTGATATTGAATAATAATGGGAAAATCACTCACAGAAAAAAACGGCGAGATAGTCCGTTGACTGTCTAATTTTATGAAACATTTTACGATTGATCCGCTCAATATGATCGGTGAGTTCCATATTTTCGGGATTTGTAAGCCAATCCAATATTTCCTCCTCGTCATCAATTTCACCATCGTAGTTTATATATTTACCCTTTCGAAAGTAAGTAATTCCGGGTGGATTTCTATAACCGTATTTTTTTGCCATTAAACGATCTTTCATTTGGACAATTTTTATTCCATACTCTGATGCTTCGTCATCAATTAATTCGAGGTGTCTCAAAACTCTGGGCGTTTCTGGATCATCCTCTTTATCTATAGATAAACAAACGAATTTTTTAAAAATGTGTTTTATTTCTACTTTCACTTTGACAGATTTTTACTTTCATTTTCATTTTGATAGAATTTTATTTTTACTTGTATTTTTACTTTCACTTAAATAATTATTTTTTCCTTTTATTTTTATTTTCATTTTCACTTAGAATTTTATTTTTACTTTCATTTATACTTTCACTTTGATAATTTTTTAAATTTTATTTTCATTTTCACTTTGATAGAATTTTATTTTACTTTTATTTTTAATTTCACTTTTATAAATTTTTTCCCCTTTTATTTTTATTTTCATTTTCACTTAGAATTTTATTTTAACTTTCATTTTTAATATAAATCTGAAGAATTTCAGCTTGATAATTTTCTTTAGACTAATTTTCTTTTTGAAAATAAAAAAAAAATTTAATTGAAACTGATGATTTATCACGGTGAAAGTAAACGTGAATAAAAATATATGTACGTCAAAGTAAAAATGAAAGCAATAGTGAAATAAAAATTCTGTCAAGTAAAAATGAAATTAAAATTCTGTCAAAGTAAAAGTGAAAATGAAAATAAAAAACTTAAATTAAATGCAAAAGTGAAAGTGACAATGAGAGTCAGAGTAAAATTACATAACCGGCCTTTGAAAATGAAATAAAAATCCTGAGATGAAGAATTAAAATCGGAGATGAAAGTTAAAAAATCTATCGGAGAGAAAATGAAAAAAAAATTTAACAAAAATGAAATTGAAAATAAATATATGTATACGTCCGCATGAAAAGGAACCACTTTGTCGGTTTTAGATTCGGAGATAATCCCAATTTTAATTTTGAAAAAAAATGTCGAAACTTTTTTATTCTTTTTTCTTCATCTACAGAGTCTCACACGTCGAATCATGCATTTTTGATTAATTTATTGATACTTTAAGTATTTTATTTCGTTGTTAGACAAAAAAATGAAAAGGAACCATTTTGTCGGTCTGTTGCAAAAGTTGTTTCTATTTCAAAATGTAGAAGGCGGAAAAATTCAAAACCTTTTGATTTTATTTTAAGGGAGTACTAGACTTAAAGTAACTCTCATCTGAATGACTTCCCAGAAAAACCAGAGAAAATCGCATTACAATTTTTAATTTCGTTTTTTTAGAAATGGAAATTTCGATATTTCCTAAAGAAAAGAAAAAGAAAGTAAAGAAAGAAAGAAAAAAGAAAGTCCCTTAAAAAATTTTGTTAAGTCTACTTTCTCTTTTTTGCTTCAAATAACTCAATAAAATAACATTCAACCATTAACTTCGCAAAAAATCAGGTTTATTTTAGAAAAGGGACAACTTTGTCGGATGTCCGTTATTTTTTCATTGTTTCAAAATTGAGGGGGGGGAGCTTTTTCATCTTAAAGGTGTACTACACTGACAGAAAAGAAGGTGCACTGCTGTTCATTTGGAGGTTGTGTATCGCAATTAAAATTTGGATCAACTGCGCACTCTAAAGGGGCGTGTAACGCGCCCCTTTAGAGCGCGCTGCTGACTCTTGACATGGGCTCACTGCGTCCCATGTCAAGAGTCAGCAGCGCGCTCTAAAGGGGCGCGTTACACGCCCCTTTAGAGTGCGCAGTTGATCCAAATTTTAATTGCGATACACAACCTCCAAATGAACAGCAGTGTACCTTCTTTCACCTTCTTTTCTCTCAGTGTAGACTTAAAACAATTGTTATCTGAATAACTTCCTAAAAAACCAAAGATATTCGCATTACAATCTTTGATTTCGATTTTCTCGAAATGAGTTTTTTGACATTCTAAACTTTGAAATTCTGTAACTCATTGAATTTTTCACCAAAAAGGACCATTCCAAATTTTCTAAATTTTGCAAAGAATTCGCCCATATCAAAGCGAAAGTGGAAATAAAAGTAAAAATAAAAATCTATTAAACGGAATGTGATAGTAAAAATAAATATCTGTCAATGTGAAATCAAAAATAAAATGGAGAATAATAGTGAAAATAAAAATTTGGCAAAGTGAATATGAAAGTGAAAACAAAATTGAAAATAAAAGTGAAAATGAAAATCTGTTAAAGTGATAGTAAAAGTGTAAATGAAAATGTGTCAAAGTGGAAGTGAAATTTAAAGTGAGAATAAAAATCCGTCAAAGGGAAAATAAATAATAAAAATCTGTGAAAGCGAAAATAAAAGTGAAAATGAAAATCTATCATAGTGAGAGTGAAAGTGAAAATAAAATGAAAATAAAAATTTCTCAAAGTCAATGTGAAAATGAAAGTGATAATAGAAGTGAAAAAAGAAATCTGTCAAATTTAAAATAAAAATAGAAATTTGTCAAAGTGAAAATGAATGTGAAAGTAAAAATTAAATTGCGTAATCGACGCCTGGATAATAGAATAAAAAATAATTTCTTACAAAATATCACTGCAAGGAATTCCTTGATTTCAATGTACTTCGTCAAAGTGTCCCGATCGATTTCTTCAATGCTGGCGTCATTTTTTTGCCTCACCATCCAGTCCAATACTTCCGCCTCGTCAAGTAAATTTCCTATTAATAGAATGGAAATTAATTGCAAAAAATTTGTTTCACTAAAAAAATCTATTATCTCGAATAATTCATACCTATAATTGTTGATCATCATTCATGTGACAAATTTTTTCCTTCGGAAAAAAGAATTATAATCTACTTTAATGAATTGCAAAAATTTGATCCATGGATCAAATTCTTGCAATTCATTAAAAACTTTCGGAAGGAAATCTACACTATTAATATATATAATCTACTTTCTCTATTTTATTTCTACTACTTATAGGACGTATTTTCTTAATTTTCAATAAAATTTTTATTTTAAAAAAATAATTATACTTTGAAACAACAAAATTAAAGATTCGAAAAAAAACTTCTGTCGTGGCTAATCGAATAGGAAAAATTTATTTATTAGGTAAAAAGAAATTTCGTTTTGTATTTTTCTGCAAAAGAAAATTAAAATTGTGTTTAAGGAAAAAAAATTGACATTATTTTTGAGTTTTTTTTCGTGACAAGAATAAATACAAAAAAACTGACACACCAGTGAGGAGAAATGTCATGTTATGTGCGTTCTACTCTTAGCATCAGCCAGTCGCAATAATGGAATGAGGTCGAACGTTCCTAAGCTTCCACAAGCTCGAAGGAGAAATTTTTGAGTTCTGTGCCCTCAGAAGCGCGTGTGTTCGCAAACGAGAAAGGTGTTCATTAAACTATTTCACTTCTCAACATTAGAGAAAAAAATCTCTTGGAAACATTTTTTTTAATTCTCTGACTAATAAATAATTTTCTGAAGAATCGAATAAAAAAATGAAAAGTAATAAAAATAGTACAAAGAAGTAAAAAAATGAAAAATATAAGAAAGAAAGAAAAAAGCACAAAGAATTAAAAAATACGGAAAAATAAAAACGAAGATATGTAAAAAAAATTGAAATTGCCCTTTTCGAGAAAAATTTACAAAAGAAAAAAAAATGTGCAATTTTTTTTTGTAAATAATTTTTTAAACTAATAATGACTGTGTAAGAAACAGAAATATTTGAATTGTTTCGGAAAGAAGCGGAAATCGATTTTTAAATTTAATTATATTTTTATAGTTAATGTAATTTGTCCCAAGGTACGTGGTTAGATTAGTTATAATAAACAATGCTACTGTTAATGTTTTTGTAATGTTTCTAAGAAAATTTTGACCAAAGAAGTAAATGTTTTATACAAAATGAAGAATTTACGGAATTAGCTACCACTACAAATTAGAAAAATATTAGAAGTTCAATTCTTCGAGATTCAATTCTTTTAATATTAAAATAATGTAATTATCTTTTAAAAATTTACATTATAAGTAATGTTCATTTACAGTAAAAAAAATAAAATAAAGCTTATTATGAAAGCAAATTTCAAAACGCTTTGAAAATGCATCTCAAAGAAAATTAAACTTTCCTTCCGATTTAAATATTTTACTCTTAAATATTAATTTCCTTCAATTTTCTATTTAATCTAAAACTATGAAAATTTCATGAAAAGTCTTTTATAGAATGCTCTGCTTTGTGCGAGTAAATTAATTCCTCTTGGGAGCATTAGAAATATAGTCTTCATGATATCAAAAGTAGACAATAATTAATTAAAAAAAAATTAAGTTCTGTTTGTTTGTAAATTAGTACTAATTTTCCTATTTTTTTTTTTTTGTTTTTTTAGTAAAAATTTTTTTGTGAACAAAAAGAGTACAAAGAATAACGTTTGGTATTAGGAAACTTGTTTATTTATTGCCGTAAGATGTAATTTTTCGTACATGCAATAATTAATCGAATTTATATAGTTAATTTACATTACGGCGGGTGCATTACTTTTCTTCGCTCACCGTGAACATTTTTATATCACTTTTTTGTTTATAAAATAATTCAACTTTTGTGAAACAAGTAAACTGTGAATTCGAAATTTCGGAAAAAAAGTGAAAGCGAATATAAAAATATATATTTATATGAACAATGAATATTCGTGTGAATGATAGTTAATAAATTAATGTTACATATTATGATGTGAAATATTTATGATAATTGGTAAGAAAATATAACATCGAAAAAAATGTCTTCAACTATCACCTTTTTTTCGAATATTATTACACAATTTACTATCGTAGACTAGAAAAAAGGAAAAAAATTCACAAATATTGTGAGCTGCACCAAAAAAAAATAAAAACAAGTAAATACGATGCAATTCTTGCCATTTACGCGAGTATTTATAATTAAAATGTATATATAGAAATTGTATTTAAAAACACGTTTGTTCTGGAAAAATTTGTTTGCTCACGTGCAACAATATTTTAACACTCTCCAAACTAACGCATGGAATTTTTTTTTATAATCATTCATCAAAATTTACAGTAATATTTCCATTTTCTTTTAGATTCACTCATTCTTTCTTTTTTTTCTCTAAAAAAAATTGCATCCTGAGGGGAATTTTTACTTTAATAAATAACGAAAAAATTTCTTTCTGATAAGAGAAATGAAAAAATTACGTTGCTCATATGCAAACAAAAGTTTACTTAAAACAAAACAATTTGCACAAATGCTCGTATGTATTTCATATAAGTTGGTGATATTTTTGTTTTACAAGGCACAATTCATATTCTTTACAATATATTTATGACCAGAATATTCTTATCAAGATTCTGTTTTTTGTGAAGCAAAACATTAGTGGCAAGAGATTGAGCAGCCTTTTTTTGTTTGTTTGTTTCAAAATAAGCACCTCACATATTTAAGAGAATGAAAATTGGCAGAAGTGAAAATTATTCTATGAAAAGTAGAAGCAAATTATTTGTAATTATATTTTAGTTTAGAGAGCATTTTGTGACTGATCAGTCTTATTGCATTATTTGAAAAAGAAAAAAAGGTTTTAATAATATTGAATGCTAAAATGGAGATCAAAAATTAAGCAGATTAGTAAAACAACGGATATTTTGGGACCGAGTTTTTTTGATGTTGTAAATTCGTAGAAAAAAAATTCATACTCTAATAGTCAACATTCTCATAAAATATAATTATAAAACAAAACATAACGACGCGATAAATAAAAAGATGAAACAAATGCTGAAGTTTATAAATCAAAATTAGTGCGGTGCTTGTTAGAATTAAAGAAAGGAACATGCTGTAAGCAGAGAGTTTTGTTTTGAATATCTATTAGAGAAAGAAAAATTCTATTTTCGGTAGGTATCACGATAAAAAATGGTTGTAATTTTTTTAAAGAAACCCTTCGATGGAATAAGGACAAAAAGGAGGAAAGGATCGGAATTAGACAAAATGGCAATTATTCTGGTTAATCAGGAGATTAAATTTTTTTTGTGTCCGCACATTTGTTGTTTTGAAATTGCTAATGCAATGTGGTAAATTATTGGTACGGATTCATCAGCGGAGGAGCTGAATATATTTTTTATGATGGTAACGATTCGAGATGGAATAGTTATTTTCCACACTAACTTTGTCTGATGGTAAATCCACTTCATTATTCTATTTTGTAGTAGACCTTTTTAGTGTTGATCCTCTTTAATCCATTATCAATTTCTCCAATTCTTAGACCTTCATAATGTATGGTATACCAGCAACAACTGCAACATCCGGTAATCGAGAAATCATTCAAAACGATATTGCTCGACGGTTTTTTTTAAATATATTTATTGCATTTATAGGTATTTAAAAATTATGATTTTAATGTTGTTTTAGATTTTTATTAATGGATTTCTATCACAAAGGTTAGTTAATGCATTTTGTGAAATTATAGATAAACTATTATCACTTTGTAGGTTTGCTACTAATTGGGTGTCATCTATTTTGGGTGATTATCAATATCTGCCATTTTTCTCTATTGAGGAGAGTGCAGCACCAGGTATTGAGGCAGAAAAGAATGGGATTTTCAATTGTAATCAAAATCACCCAAAGAGAATTTTAGGTTGGTTGAATTTTTGGGTCAATATTCAGAAACAAATTACGGAAAAAAGTGCACAACCTGTTGTGCAAAGTGGGAATGTCTACAATAATTGTCATTTTCTTGAAAATAAATGTCAGTTTTTGTAGACGTTTCTGACTTTATACAACAGAGCATAGTTCAGGTGCTATCGAACAGTAACTTTTGAGGCAAACCTCAAGAATTGGATACTAAACGGTATCAAACAGTACAAAGAAATTAAATATACAAGGAATCTAATAGATATTTTAAGCAGTACTAAGAAGTTGGGAAACCGAATGGATATGCTTTGGCTCCTATTTTCCAAGAGACCAAAATAAACTTAGAAACACTCACATAAATCTGTAGAATAGGGATACTGATCTCTTGTGGCAGAAATCATGATAGGAAACTGGATTTTAAATAACCAATTTGGATCACAACAAAACGGATGGTAAAACATCCATTATTATAAATACATCTGTTGTAGCATAAGTTTTAAATTAATGTCCCGAATACGAAATTTTAGAAATTTTCATGAGAAAGAAAAAATATTTGTCTTACTTTAAGTCTAAGTTTAGAAAAATAGGGGTATTAAAAGAATTTAAGGAGTCATGTATTTCCGTTTAATGTGAAATTACTAATTCTACACTAAATATAATACATAATTAGTCATCTATTCTTATTTAGTCAGGACTTACTAATGTTATATCAAAAAACCTCGATGGGACAGCAGAACTTTAGAAGGAATCTTTAGTAGAGTATTTAAGAAGTTTGTGGAGAATTTAGGAGATTTTTTATACAAAGGTCACAAAAGTCCATGTTCGTCAAAAGAACGTCAAAAGAACTATTTAATGTTCAAAAGATGTCCTTAAGAAATACAATGTATTTGGGAAGTCCTTTAGATAAACATGGACGTCCTACAGATTTCTTAGAGACAACCCATGTCCTTATGTCCACTGGGAGGTTGTTCAGCAGACACTGAAGAAACAATTAAATATTTTCCACGACCGAATCTGCTGGGTTAGAAATAAAAATTCTAATTATTTAGTGGAAATGGGAATTGAAAGACCTCTTTAGGATTAGGTACTTTCCATTGAGCCAGTCTCCAAAGTTTTTAACGATCCTAAGATTTCGGATTTTCAAAGTAAAAAGTAAACTTTACAGAATGAATACTTGCTTGCGGAAAGCTATTCTAGTTGTAAACTTCTTTATCTCTCAAATCAGATTTAATCTAATTCGGGAGAATGGCATTTAGCCATTATAGGACATTAATCCCTAGGCAAACAGAGACAAATATTTTGCCACAACAGATTTTCAAGGTATGGATTTTTGAAGACTGGAGCATCAGACCGAATAGTAATTTTGTTTACTGTAATCTAAAGTATTTAGTATTATTAATAATATTAAATCCTTTCTGATACTTTTGCATCACTATCAAAGTTTTCAAGAATAAAAAAAATATCTTTAAGATCTGCACAGGAAAGCAATTTTTTTTATATCGATCGAAGATATTTACCGCTTCCAAAGAATCCTTTCTTGCTCTTCTTCGAAGCCTCGGCTCGAGACTGTTTAGAAGTTTTGTCCTTGACGGAAGCACTGGCCGATTTTTTGATGTCCTTAGGAGAGAGCTTGTTTATTGGTTTGAGTGCCGGTGGTGCTATTGGAGTAGGCCTGATGGGTTTACTTTCCCGCAACTTATTCTTTGGAATTGGACTGACCTTGGCGACCTTGGTGCCACCCTTGACCTTGGATGGACAGCACTGGTAAGGCTGATAGGAGGGAATCTTTGGTTTCGCGTTTTTTGCTCCCATCCCGATGTAGAAACAGCCGTCGCCTGCAGTGAAGCAAATACACGAATCAGACAATATTGAATTTACAAAAAAATTAAAAATGGCTTTTGCAAAATAGACCGAAAAACAAATAAATTCCTACAAAATTACGATAAAATGGGAAAATAAATGATGTAGGCATTATATCGAAGAAAAAAAAATTATCAAAAGTTATACAAAGTTATAGACAGTTAAAAAGACTTAGAAAAAGGAATAGTAAACATCAAAAAAAGAAGTTAGTTATGAGACCCTGAAGCGCTGTGTCACTATAATCCCATTTTGCGTAGCAAAAGCCAAACGTGCAAATTTTTTTTCAAAAAATAAAAAACAATACTTTCAGCGAGTCGATGACTCCCTGTTTTGTTGCTACCAAAAATGTCTGAATTGCATGGAAATAATATTGAATTAAATAAAAAACATCATTCTTAAATAATATACCTTTCTTCTTCTAATTAACCAAATATTAGAATTGTATCAACATTTAAAATTTAAAATGGATAAAAAATGATAATTCCACTGCAGACGACGGCTATCGGAACAATCAGCTCGCTTGAAAATATTGTCCAGCGTAATTTACAAAAAAATGCTGTGGAATTTTTAATAGCGCAAAATTTCTTTATTCTAAAGAAACCCATAAAATTTTTCAGGAAGAGTTAAAATTAACGAATAACATGCATCATCATTATGGAATGAAATGAGTACATAGGAAAATTTTTGACTTAATAAGGAGGGAATTATAGATATATTTTTTTAAATTAATAAATGGGAACGAAAGTGTATGAAATTAGATACATGGGAACAAACGATTCCGTGCAGATGAAATTTCATTTTCGCTCGACCTTGACCGATGGGTGAGTAATTGGATCACGATTCCTAACAGTTTATCAAAAGGATGTCTATATACTACTTTTGTTTTAATTGGTTCAAGCCTATTTACACTGTGCACTTGAGACGAAAATCAAATAACTGATAGTTCATTCTAAACTCTTGCTTTAAAAGAAAGCCTACCATATTCTTTATCACGTGACCTTCATTTCATCTGTCACAAGCGCCGTTGCGTCTTTACCTGGGTATAGAAGCTTTATTTTGGCACTGTGAGTGTGATTTGGTTTTTTCTTTTCGCCTTTCTTATCCTCTTCTATTTTTTTTTTGCTAACATTATCATCATTATCCTCATCATCATCGTCGTCGTCATCCTTATTAACGGTATTATCTTCTTTACTTTTTGAATCGTCATTATCGTTACTGTTATCATCATCATCATCAGAATCAGAATCATTATCATCATTAACTTTTTTACTAGTATCATTGTCACAATTATCATCATCATCATAATCATCATCGTCGTCCTTATTATCTTTTCTACTATGAATATCATCATCACCGTCATCATTTCGATCATTACTTTCATCCTCATCTTCTTTGGTATCGTCTCTGTCAAATTTAGAATCATCCTCTTTACTTTTATCATCATCATCACTATCATTATCCTTCGATTTTGCACTTAAATCTTTGTCATCTTTATCGTAATGCGTCGAATTATTGTCATCATCATCATCTTCATCTTTATCATTACCTGTGTATGAAGATTAGCAGCGATCATGTAAAAATAGCGCGTCGAGGGTTGTAAAAAAAACTCTATCTACCTTTCAAATAGATTGAATAACAAAAAATGATATTAAACTTTGAAGCAAATTAATAATTTAAATTACAAAAAAATGCACAGATGTGTTCTCCGTTTTTAAAAAAATAAATATTTTTCGATGCAAACTAAAATTTATAAATTCAATAAAAAACAAAATTAATTTAGCGTCAATTTGTATAGCGTTCATTAAGTGACTATAAATACTGGGGTACGAAAAAAAATCTCGACAGGGACATGTCGTTAATCACCAAGAGTTTAATTAATTACGATTTATCTAGTCACTTGTATACAAAAGAAAACTTTTTTTTAAATTGCCGATTGTCAAAAAATTGCAAAAGGATTGGAAAAAATGGAGTAAATATATAAAAGATTAGAAAAAAGACAAGATAGAAGGATTAGATAAAAAGAAATGTTTCAAAAACACTTTTTGGGTTAGGGTTAACGTAAGCAACTAAACCCGCATAATTTAATACGGATCATTGACATATGCATGCATTATCACGAAATTAATTTTTAAAACTAAATTTAAATACCGTTCGCGATATTTTTAATTGAAAAAAGAAAATGTAATTATTAGAAAAATGTATAGATAGTGTAATAGAAAAAAAATAGTTTCACGCAAATTATTACAAAAGCGGCAAAGCTGCTTTGCAGAAAAGCCGTTTTAGAGTAAAATAGTAAATTTAGATTATAATTTTCATTGTCTTTTCTCTTTAAATACAATTACGGTGATCGCGTAGGTGGTAGAATTATAGGGGTAATTACGACCGCATGTGTGTTGTACTTATAATCCGGTGGGATTGTCACGACTGAGACTAGAGTCACAACGAACAGTATGCCAGTTATAATAATCATCATCCTAAATGTTTTCTTACTTTTCTGTTCGATTAGCCATTCCAGAACTTCGTCCTCTTTCTTAAGATTACCTACAAAAGTCACACGTTACGCATGAGCATTATTTAATTCTTTTTTTCGAATTAGTCATTGATTGATAATCAGCAGACTATTTTTTAGTTCTTTCGGAATATGTTTCATCCTTCAGAGACATTTTTCTAGATAAGCGGTAATTGATACCCTCATAACATCTCTAAATAAATAAACATCTTATTTCAATTTAGATAAACAATTAATTTTAGGAAAAATCTATCAAAGTATGGGTAACGTCTAGATTTAATTTTTCCAAAATATTTTACTTTTATTTTAAATTTTGTACATTTTTCGAACTAGGAAAAGACTCTGGCAAAGAATGGGCAAAGACTGGAATTTATTTTTGTTGAATCTTTTACTTTTTTATTCAAGAGTTTATTCTATAAAATTTCATTCACATTACAAATTAGGAGAAGAGTTTTGCAAAGTGTGGTCAACGGCCATAAAAACTATTTGTTAAAAAAATGAAAATTGTTAATGTTTCCATAATTTAAAAAAAAACAAATTTTTTAAGAAAGTTAAAAAATTTCGCAAAAATTCATTCTATCTATTGCTAGATTTTCCCAAATTAATAAAAGAACCAAAATAATTAACAAAAATTTCTTCTAGGCGTTGCCCATACTTTGCTAGACTCTACCCATAACAAGAAAAATGTAGAAAACCTGATAGAAAAGTAAAAAATTTCTGAAAAATTACTTCAGCCATTGCCAATACTTTGCCAATGTCATCACATATTTCGGAAAATTTATTAAACCTAATAGAAAAGTATAAAATTTATAAAAATGTTATTCTATCCGTTGCCCATACTTTGCTAGACTTTACCCATAGCCCGGAAAAAAATTTAAAACTTATTAGAAAAGTAAAAAATTTTGGAAAAATAAATTCCAACCATTGCCCATAAATAGTCTCAAGCAAATGGATATTCCCATGACGTCCTAGTTTTATTTTTTAGGATTTTGGGTTAAGGATTATTCTTTGATGCACAATCAGAATTTTATAAAAAATTAGGAATTAATGGGAGGAGGTTTGGAAAGTGTCAGATTTGGAAACTTATGGCAGATTAATTATTGGAACTGATTAATATATACTTCGGATAATTTATAGATCTACGGAGGACGTCTTAAGAAAAGTTTTATCCGCGAACATTCCCCTGGTTACTAAAGTCTGAAGGATGAAAATTCAAAAAAGGAATGCAAAATCTTAATACCCTCGTCGGCACCAAAAAGAAAAAAAGAAGGAACGCTCAAATTCTCTTACCGTCGTACATAATCGGAACGCCGGTCTCATAGTACACAAGAGCCGGAAATGAGAAGATACCAATCTCGGCGGCTAACTTGGCATCTTTTGACTTGACAAATTGAATACCATGCTTGTCGGTGTCGTCGTCAATGGTCTCGAGCTCCTCCAAGATCTCCGGGCAAGACTCGCACTTGTCGTCGTCTATTAAAAAAATTCGTCACTTGCATTTAACAATCAAGATATTTTTTTTTCTTTCCGAATCGCAACAATTGACTACTTTTCTTGACAATTACAGTTGAAAACAAAAAGTTTCTAGACGCGCTCTTACAGAAAAACACAGCGAGATGCTCGACATCATTTATGAGGACCTGCAGAGTTTTCCTATCGACATTCTCGATCACATCCGGCGTTGATGTACGAAGTTCAAGAACCCATTCTAATATCGCCTCCTCATGCATCATGTCACCAGTGTATATCTGTCGAAATTTGTGCCTATAAAACGCCAACGCTGGTAGACTCGGTAAATCGTATTCTTTCTCAATTCCATCGTCTGATATTTTTACAAAATCAATATCCTTCTCCTCACATTCATCATCAATGTTCTCTAATTCTTGAAGAATCTTCTGACTCTTCTTGTCGCCCTCATTGTCTGAAATTAGTTTTTAGGTAGACTTAATAAGACTACTGCAAATAGAGAAAACTGGAGAATAAATCAGAAATTAAAAACTTACAGAAGAATACAACAACGTAATCATTTTCCTCCAAAATATTCTCCAACATTCGACTATTCACTTCCTCAATTTTTCCCGGAATTTCGAGAGTGTTTTCGTCCGTGATCCACGATAGGACCTCGTCCTCATCGTCTAGATCGCCTTTGAATATGAGAGGTTCCTTGTTTCTAAAGAAGGCGAGAGTAGGAAATGATTTGATTCCATGTTTCTTGGCTAGGGACGTATCTTCAGTGGTGACAAAAACAATTCCCGTTTCGTCCAATTCATCATCAATATTTTCCAATTCTTTCAGAACTTTGTCGCACTCGTCACCATCATCACAATCACCACCTGTAACAATAGTGGAATACCATTTGATGAATTGATGAATTAAAATTAAATTCTAATAAAGTGGATAAATAAAACTTACTGAAAAATACAACGACGTACTCGTGCTCCTCAATCAGATCTGATAGAATTTCGTCAGTTACTTCTTCAATAGTTGCTGATTCTTTTTGCTCAATCAACCACTTGAGCACCTCGTCTTCATTGAGAAGATCACCTTCATAAATAGCTGGAATCTTCCCCTCGAAATAGACCAAAGTTGGCAGATGATCAATACCATATTCCTTGGCTTCAGCTTCGTTATCCAATCGAACAATGACAATTCCAGCTTTTTCCAATTCATCATCAATATTCTCCATTTCGTTCAAAATTCTCATATCCTGTTTGTCGTTTTTGTCATCTGTAATTGTTTCATTTAGAAATTCAACATATCAATTTATTCATAATATCAATTAAAAATCAATTTAGGAGAATAAAACATAACTAACAAAAAAGCACAGCCAGGTAGGGAGTTGTTTCTATCAGTTTCTCCATCATTTCGTCAGTGACCTCTGGAATTTCACTGTGTTTTTTCTGATGTAGCAACCAACCCAAAAGTTGATCCTCATTCATAAGATCACCTATTGAGAAAAGTTTTCATAAATTCATTTTTCTATCATTTTTCTTTTGAACAAATATTTTTTGAATCGTAAAATGTTACCTTCATAAATATGTGGTATTTTTCTTTCGAAAAATACGAGCGTTGGTACTTCATCAATTCCGTATTCTTTTGCCTCATCTTCGTCGTCTATTTTAACGAATGCAATATTGTGCTGATCACAATCATCGTCAATATTTTCCAATTCTGATAAAACTTTTTGACTCTTCTTCTGATCCTTATCATCTACAAGACATTTTTAATTAAATAATTATTATCATTACTGTAATTATAATTAATGGGGAAAAATAATGAGAAAAATAATTAATGATAGAAAATTTAATTTTGGAGTAAACTCACAGAAAAGTACAGCAACATGGGGCATTTTTTCGATTACCATGTCTAGCATTTCGTCAGTTATATCTTCAATTTGATCGCTTTTTTGTTGATGTTCGAGCCACTTGAGTACTTTTTCCTCCTCCTCTAAATTACCCTCATATAACGTTGGTATTCCTTTTTCAAAATAAAGTAAACTGGGAACTTTTTCAATACCATATTCCTTGGCCTCATCAGGATTATCGATTTTGACGAAAATTATATCCAATTGATCGCACTCGTCATCAATATTTTCGAGTTCATTTAAAACTCTTTGAGATTTGCGGTCATTATTATCATCTATTTGAATAAATAATTAGGAAAATTTAATCAGATTGTTAATTCAAGACAAAATTAGAAAAAAAATTAAAAGAAATAAATTCAGAAGAGAAGTTTGAGAAAAAAGGCAAAGAAAAATATTTGTAAAATAAAAAACGTACAGAATAAAACTGCCAATGTTTTTCCTTCCTTAACTAATCGATCTAACATCTCATCGGTCACATCTTCAATTTCATCTTTTTCAAGTTGTGCCAATAGCCATTCAAGAATTTCATCTTCATTCTCAATATCGCCTGAAAAATAATTAATTACAATTAGAAAACATCTGTGTACATTTAATTACTTTTCCATTTCTTTTTACCTACCATCGTATACATTTGGTAATTGTTTCTCAAAGTATACAATTGCAGGCACTGAATCGATTCCAAATTCTTTTGCCGCTTTATCGTCATCAATTTTAACGAACTGAATACCATGCTTGTCGCAATCATCATCAATCTTCTCGAGTTCATGAAGAACTTGCATTGAATCCTCATCACCATGATCGTCTGTAATGGTTAAGGTCGAGGAAAAAATTACTTTCTCTAATCACTAAAAAATTGTGGTGCAAGAAAATATTATTATTTTAATATGTAGTATTAATTTTTCATAATAAATAATTTGGAAAAATTTTCTTGTAACACTTGAAGAAAAACCTTAAATACGAACAGAAGAGTACGACCAGATTGTCGATATTTCCAATGAGTGTGTTGAGCGTTTTTGCAGTAACATCCTCAATAACGTCTTCCTCGTCACCTGTACTCTTGTTTGCAACCAGCCACTCCAGGACGTCTTCTTCTCGACTTAGTTCGTCTTGAGAAAAATTCATAAAAACATCAGTATTTAATAAATAAAGAATGTATGCTTCATGACTTTTTAAAGTAATATTTTGTGTATAAATAAATTATGAAATAAATAATTTCAACATTAGTGGATAAAAGGATTTATGAATTTATAAATTAGGAATCGAAACATCTAAGTATTTATGATCTATGAATCAAAGGATCTATACAGTTAAAGATTAAAATCTTCACGTATGTAAATCACTTTCTTATTTAATTAGTGTGTCAAATAATTTAAGGATCTTTGGATCCGAGATCACCAATAGACAAAGATTTATTGATCTGATACTCTGAGGATTTTAAGATATACATATAGTGAAGCTAGAGTAATAGGCGAGTAATAGGCCTTGTCTCAAAATGGTGCCCAAAGGAAGTTCTTTCTCCTTTGTTGTGCTGCTTGGTGGCAGATAAGTTGCTTTGAAATCTGAATAGCCAAGGATACTATACTTAAGATTGTTAAAGATTGATGCAATCTAACGAGACTTTCTGTGAATCCAGAAAAAACGAAGATAGTCGTTTTGACTAAGAAATACAAAGTTCTTAGTTTAAAGAAATCGATACTTTATTTGAAAAAAATTTCTTTTTCCGAATCGGCTAAGTACCTGGGAGTAATCCTGGATAAAAAGCTGAGTTGGAAAGAACATTTCGAATATCAGTATGATGGGGTTTGTACTATTTTTTTGTCTTGTAGAAAGGCGATATGTTTATCTTGGGAACTGAGACCTAACATGGACAATTGCCTCTATCAGATGATCTTAAAACACAGATTTTTATATGCGGTGGTTGTTTGATGGCCTAGGACTCAACTTATTACAGTAACAGAGAAACTAGACTGTCTATACATCCCATAATTAAATATGGTGCATGATAGAATGATCAAAAGGGTGAAATTTAAACCAGGGTATAAGATCTTTATTCTTTTCAGAATGAACCGGAAGAAGTGTTTTCCACTTGGAGACGATGTATGGTATACGGACGGCTCCAAGATGGACTGCAGTGCAGGTTTCAGAATCTACCGAAAAAGTAGCTGAGTCATTGGGACAATATACCACGGTCTAACAGGTTGAGGTCTGTGCAATTTTAATTTGCGCCCAAATGTCAATTGCAAACGGAAAAAATAGCAAAAGGATTAGTATTTGTGTGGATATTCAGGTCCTAGGGGCTCTGGAAAATACCACAATAGAATTGAAACTTGTCTGGGAAATAAAAGAGATGACGTCTTTTAGAAAAAACAGGTTCTGAGACGGTCATATGGGTCCAAAATTAACAGTGACAATAAGGCTATGCTTGGTTAACGGAGTCATAGAAAGATGGGGTCAAAATGAGCGGTAAACAAGACTAAATAAGTTGCATTAAAACGAGCAAACTGCACTTTGGTACAATGGGTATTAACCTAAGTGCCTACTTTCGATATGGAGAATCCAGTTCCAGCTCAATTAATTAGATTAGATTAATATCAAGTCTAGGGCTAAGGTTGTTTCCGGTGTATAAAAAACCAACGAAATATAAACTAAAAACACTTCCTTTCATTTACGGGTGGTATAGGTGAAATCAAGTAGCTGACGTGGACCAAAATCAGCAAGAAAGCTCTAGGATAAAGAAGGGAACCAAAGTTTTAAATCCCAATTTAAAAAAAACCCACAGATTGTTTGCAATTTCCCCTGTATGTTCAGAAAACCCTCAGGGGGCGGACTTCGGATGTAGCGAACCCGGGGTATCTCAGCTGGTAACGCCGTTTGTCGATCGGCAAGCCATTTGTAAGTCTGCTTTCAGCAACGCATCTATGTTGCCGACGAGAACTAGGGAAATTGAAATTCAAATAAGAAGGAAAAGGGAAGGAGAGCGACGGAGAAAGGAGTAGGGATCAAGTGCTCAAGGCAGTGACGATTAAGACCTGACGGGAAGAGGTCATTGACCGGAAGGCCTGACCCGAACAGAAAAGGCTGAATTGATGAGCCAAAGGGCTGACAGAAATTGTATTTGGCATGCCTGACCGCGGATAGGCGTGCATTTTGTGAAGACCACCTGACTATGAAGAGGTGCATTAAAGCCGCTTGAGTAAATAGGCGCCACTTTGTTTAATTAAACTATTGAGTTATGTAACGTGTTTATTTTTAGTTGTCATGAATTCGTTTGTAAAACGAATATTTGTTCCAGTGTTCACAATAAATTAATGTTGTTAATTTGAACCTAATTATTTTCAATCATTCAACGTCTCAGGTGTTCGATAGTAATTTGATTGTTATAATATCTCAAATGTTTACTAGTAATTTAATTCTTATAATCTTCGATAATCCACTCTAGCACTCACATTACTATAAATAATTTATATTACAAATACAAGGTTTAATGTCTACGGTTTAAAGGGTGGATAAAAGTACAAAAAAGTTTACATTTAGATAGTTAGTATGGAATTAATTTTAGGTAGAAATATTCAAGTTCTGGTCCAGGTATCGATTCAGGTTTGATTTAAGATGTATCTCTAATTCTAGACCTTAATTTAAGTCTAATTCTAGAACAAGCTGCAGGTCAAATTATTAGTCTCTAGACTGCTGGTTTATATCTAATAACAAATTATGGAAATGCGATTTGTTCAGGCTTAAGTTTAGCTCTAAGTCTAAATCTAATCATATAGGTATGGGTCTAAGCCTCTAATTTTAGGTGAAGGACTGAGACTGTCTCTATGTTTAGATCTAATTGTAGGAATAGGTATTAGTCTTGGGCTAGGTCTACATCTAATTCCAAGTCTAAATTTAGGCATTAGTTCAGGTCGAATTCTTGATATACAATTAATCTATCTATTATCTAATTCTAAGTCTTAACTTTAGTCTAATTCTAGATTCAGTTCTAGGTCAATCACTTATTCTAAATCTAAGTCTAGTAATTTTTATCGGTCTAACTCAAAGTAGGAGTCTAAGGCTTGGTTTAATTTCATGTTTAGGTCTCAATCTAGGTTCAATTTTAGGTCTATCTCCATTTCTAATTCTAGTAAATGTTAGGTCTAATTCTAGATATATTTCTATGTACATGACTAGGCCTTGCATTAAATATAATTTTAGGTTAAGGTCATGGTCTAATTGTAAATCTAGCTTTAAATCTAGGCATTGGTTGAGATATAATTATATTTAGAAGTCTAGTTTTAAGTCTATAGGTCTTGGTTTAAATCTAATTCTAAGTCAATAGCCTAGGACGTGGTTTTAAGTGAAGGACTAGGTCTAGTTTTGAATTTAGATCCAAGTCTAGGCATCAGTGTAGATTTAATTTCTGGTCAAGTTCTGTGTCTACTTCTACTTCCAGGTCAGAATTCATAGCTATAGGTCTGATTCTAAGTCTAGGTTTAGTATTAATTCTAGGTTTAGGATTAATTCCCAATTCTAGGTTTAGGTATAAGTGTCAAGCACAAGATCTATTTCTAATTCTAAGCTTAAGTCTATTTAATTCAATTTACTTCTAAGTTTAATTCTAAGTATAAGTTTAAATCTAAGTCTAGGAATTAATTTAGGTCCAATTCTACGTCAAGGTCGAAGTCTACGTTTAGTTGTAGTTTAAGGTTTAATTCTAGGTATAGAAGTTTCTAGGTCTAATTATGCTTTATGAATATAATTGGTCCAGGTTTTAATTGTAGGTCAATGTCTAGGTCAAGTTCAAGATCTAGTTCTTTAGTCTAGTCCTTGGTTTATTTCTAATTTTCGGTCAAGGTTTAAGTTCAGGCCTATTAGGTCAAAATTCAGAATCATATCTTATTTCAATTTTAAGTCATAATCTAGGTCTGAGTCTGATTAACGATTTTTATGCATTGATCTATAAATTGATGAATTTATAATTAAGAAATAAATTTTTAAATTGAAAAAGAACTTTAAAAAATAGATAATGAAAAATATTTATTATAAAAATATGAAAAATACTCTTACGTTCGTATACAATTGGTATTTGATGTCTGTAGTAGACCAAAACAGGAAGCTGTCCGAGATTATACTCCTCGGCGAGTCGTTCGTCTGCAATCTTAACGAATCCGATACCAAGTTGATCGGCCTCGTCATCGATGTTCTCCAATTCCTGAAGGGCCTTTGCGCACTTCTTACAGTCCGGTTTGTCTGTCCCATTGTGAACCAAGATGAAACATTATCGCAGGTCATTCGCTTTTTTCTTTTACTTTACAAACGAAAATCATATCGCTCAAAGTTAATCGACGTGCTCAACTTGGGACTAAACTAAATCACTCGGATTTCTAATATATCCCATATGGTTTTGTCATTCCAATGAGATTTTTTGTTTCTACACCACATACTCATGACTTAGAGAGAACTGGTTTTGTTTAAAAAAAAAAAATAAAACAGGCCCAAGAGATCATATTTCGTCTTGGTCGAGAAATATGATGAAGCAGTTACGATATTTCAAATTAAAATCTCCTTTTACAAAAGTTACGTTATTATTTATATTGAAAGGATATCGAAGCGAAACTCAAGCAAGCATATTGAGAAAAAAGTTTAAGTCAAAATCTTTTTCCATTTCCTTTGGACGAATGAAAATTTTATTCCTACATTATCCTTAGGGAATAGAAACTTTTATCTCAATGGTCTATATACACGAATAGTGTTATACATTACAATACTCGTATTAATATAAAGCTTTCGTTGCAATTTTATACAATCAATGAGAGAAATGTATTCAAATAAAGTAACAAATAAAAATATTCTTTAATTAAAAATTTTTAATTTTTAAAAATTTTACAATTTTTACAATGTTTTTTGATTTTGAATATTGTATAATTTTCTACATAATGCATTTGATCAAATAATATTATTTCCAAGCTAGTAATTTCTTGTAATAACATTTACGTTATTTGTACAACAAATTTTGTATTATCGTGAGATTAAAATTGGTTGTACAATTATTAGAATAACTCGAAAATCATTAGATACATCGACTGTAATATTATTCTCCCAATAATGAGATAGTTTCACTAACCGTAATTTCCACTGAGGCTCTCAATTGGGAAATATATTATTACAACAATTTCAGTAATTACAATATTCAAATAAATATAATATACATTTCTCTCCATAATGAAGCGTGCTTATTTACAACAAAGAAATATTTACATGAGGAAACAAATTTTCTTTTTAATCTGTTAAATTCAACAAATACTCATAAATGTGTTAAAACAACAATAATTTTGTCAAATTAAAAAAAAATATTCGTGCTCTTTCGCTGTTTAAATAGTTTTCGGAAACAAAATTTTAATTCAAATATTTATTTAAACATAAAAGTAAATTGGATGGTAAAATAATTTTATTGATATTAGCGACAGAGCTTTGGTTTTCATAAGGTTTCTGGACGTATTTAACTTTTCCAAATTTAGGACAGAGTCGTTGAATTCACAGAAAGGACCTGAAAGTTTGAGTAAAAATATACTTACTGGAACCAGCTCCAGCGCAATGCTCCGAATCAGGACCTGATCGCATTTACGCACACAAAAAAAATATTTTTCACATGTATGTATTATTTACAAGTATAATTTTTTTGTGTAAATTGTACAGAAAAATTTTTTTTTGGAATTTTTTTTTTTTTGGAAAATGAAAAATTGTGTGAGATGATCTACTGCAATTTTTTGTTGTTAAAATTTATTGTCCAATTTACCTGATTTTCAATTTTAGTATATACCAGTTTATTAAATGAATTTGGAAAATAAAACTTTTGTTGATTTTTTGAATTTGAAAATTTTTTTTTATATTTCTCATGCAGAGAAACACCTTGCACACGTTAAAGCATATTATTTTACTTTCATTGATAATGGATAAGAAAATATTGGTCTTGAAAAATGATTCAGAAAAGATTTTCTACTTTTTACTTGCTGCAACTCATATGTGACTTCTATAGTACTAGCTTTTACTTTCTACTTTCTATATTCCAGATTTTACTTTTAATTTTACTCCATTTGTCCCACATTCTACCTTTCATACTATATTTCACATTTTCTACACCTCACTTTCCATATTCTACTTTACACTTTTTTAAATACACTTTCTACTCTTTTTTTCTACTTCTAATTTATAATTTTATTGCTTTTCTGCATTAACTTAGAATATTGCATATCCCAGTTTTAAATTTCTACTTTCCAAATATCAAAATTAAAGAATTTTTTATATCCCTCTTTCCATATTCTTCTTTCCACTTGCTACTTCTTTTTTCTACTGTCAAATTTTATTCCTTTCCTACTTCATAAATTATATATCCCTCTTTCGAATTTTCACATTTCAAACATTAATTGTTATATCCACTTTATACTTTCCGTTAGGTATTTGATATTCTAATTTCTACTTGAGATTTTTCACTTTACATTTTCTACTTATTATTTGTATGGTCCACTATAAGGAGGCAGTAGAAAATATACAATAGAATCTGGATGTAAAAAGTTGATATTTGAAAATAATAAATACAAATTAAAAAGTAAAATTCTAATAGGAGTGAAAGGAAAGTGAAAAAAGTAAATTATGGAAAAGATAGATTATAAAAATAAAGAATAAAAGTGGCATATGGAAAGTAGAATTGAAGAGTGTAGAAAGTGTAATGTGAAAATAAAGAGTTAAATGTGGAAAGTAGATTTGAAGTGGAATATGAAAATGGAATATGGAAAAAAAGTGTAAAATGAAATGTAGAAAATAAAAAATAGAAAGCAGAAGATTAATAGAAGGGAAGGGAATAAAGAGAGTAAGAAAGTTGAATGTGAAAGTAAAAAACAAAAATAGAATATTGAAAATAGAATTAGAGAGTGTAGAAATTAGAAAATAAACTATCGCAATGATAGTTAAAAGTGCAATATGGAAAATAGAATCAAGAAAGAATTAAGAGGAAAGTAGAAATTAAGAAAGAAAGCATATGCATTGTTAATAAGAAAATTGAATGTAAAATCTTAAAATGAATAGTGAAAGTGGAATAGAAATGGAATTCAAAAAGGAGAATTAAAGAAATATGTATATAACATACAATTTAGTAAAAAAAATAAATGGAATGTGGAAGTGGAGAAAGAAAGATCATGAAAAGTAGAGTTAGAGAAATGTAAAATAAAAAGTAGAAAAGTAAAAACGCATAAAAAGTATAATCAGAAAAGTATAAAATAGACTGTAGAAAGTAGAAATGCAATCTAGAAATGTAGAATTAAAGTAGAATTAAAAATTAAAAAGGAATATTAAGAAACGGAAAGTAGAAAGTTAATTTAAATTCCAAAAATTGAAAATGGGAAGTAGAAATTAAAGAGTGCATATGGACATGAAAGTATAATTAGTAACGTGTAAAACATAATGTAGTAACTAAAAATAAAAAGTGTTAGTGAAGAATGGAAGTAGAATTGGAGAAATGAAAAAGAATAAACTAAAAATAGTATAAAACGGAAAGTAGAAAGAAAAGAGAAGTGGAAAAATATAAAATACAAAGTAGAAAGTAAAAAATGGAACGTGGAAATGTAGATTGAAAATAGAAAATGGGAATTATAAAATAAAAAATTGTAATCAAAATTTGTATCATTATACTTGGATGAGGTGGATAAATAATTAATGAATTAAATTAATTAATAATAATTAGAATATATAATTTTAATAAAATAATAATAATTAAGAATTAAATTAATATAAAAATTAATAAAATGGAAAATGGAAAGTAGAATAGTAAAAAATATAAACTATAACACAGAACATAAAAAAATGAAAAATCATGTATTCGAACTGAAAGACAGAAAATAGAAATTCAATACTAATAAATAAAGAGTCAAAAGTTGCCAAAAAGAAAGTAAAATGTAGAAAAAAGTAGGAGGAAAAGGAAAATTTTTGCGAAAAAGTGGGAACTATGGAATATTAGGCAAAGGATGTGAAAAGTGAAGAAATGTTGATTAGTGGAAACTACAACGCACAGAGCAGAGTTCTTTTCTGTTTGTTTCTGTATAGAAGCTTTTTGTAATTCGCAGTCCGAATTTGGACAAAATTAATTGCAATACTACTGTAGTCCGAAAGCCAAAAAAGAAAAAAAAAATTTTTTTTAAATTTAAAAAAAATTCTCGTAATGCATATATTCTATTTTTTAAATAGTGTCATATTTACAACTATATTACACCTAAACTATTATCATTACTAATATAATATTACAATTATTCACTCATAAAATATGTAAAATTTACAGCTAATTTCTGCTAAAATTCTGCTGAATAATCGGAATAATCAACTTCCAAAAAAACTTTTAAAAACAAGAGTGACTTTTACATATTCTAAAAGTGAAAAATAATTAATATCCTCTTTATTTACAGATTACAAATTTATAAAAATGCTAAAAAATTTCTATCCTTTTCGAAAACGTTTCAATTTTACTAATAAGCAATTGTTTTCGTCATAAGGCTTTTTTTAGATTTTTAAGACAATGATAATATTATTTTTTCAGAATTACTAAAATTAAAAATTATTTTCAAAAATATGTATTAATTGTAAAAAATGAAATATAATTTAATACTCAAATTGGTTATCATGAAAATTTTGCTTTTTGATGAAAGATTTTATTTAATTAAATGGATCCTATATATAAAAAAAGGAAAAAAAGAATTTTTTTCACTTCGAGTAGAAAATTTTTATCGATGTCTGAAAAAACCGTAAAAAGGAAAAGAGGAAGTAAAGTGAAAAACTTACAGAAGAGAACTGCTACAAAATCTGTTTCTTCGACAATTTTCCCCAGAATTTTCGAGTTAACTTCCTCGATGCGGTCGGGTAAGTCCATGGCCTCCAAGCTCGTCAAGAACTCAAGAACATTTTCCTCGTCCATAAGATCTCCTAAAAGATATTCAGAGACTTTTTTGAGAAAAAAACATATTGCTCCATTCCTGATTTCTCTATAATAGATGTATCATAAAAGTTTTCAAAAAAAAGTAAACATAAATAACAAACAGAAGAAAAATATCTTATATAAATTTCTGTGAAATTTAAAAAAACTGATAGTTAAAAATATTAAAAATAATAAATAAAAAACATTAGGATAAAAATAATAAAAAGAACAAGGTACATAACAAAAATAAATAAAAAAAAACATTGTAAAAATATTTAAAAAAAGGTAGATAATAACAATAAAGAAAGAGAAAATTTGATGTTAATGACTCTTGTATTAAATTAATTGTAATTTTTTGATAAACAAGTTTACAAGTTATTGTAATTAAATATGTCATTTCTCATTTTCTAGCAATTTGCTTTAGTCGCAGTTCACAAAATTCTGTTTTGTAGTCAGCGACAAGGCCATTGTAAAAGACCACAACATTTGGGCTGAAACCCAATAAAATTTGGCGCTAAGCCTTCTCGACTCGATTGTCTTTTCTGACCATCATCGGCTGTTCTTCCTGATTCTCCACGCGAGTACTATTACCCATCATAAAATGTGAAAAAGTGACATTGTTCCATAATAATTTTAAATTATTCTCTTCTTCTTATCTTCTACTTCTTTTCTAAAGATCATTAATACGAACAAAAAATTTCAATGCAAAATTTTTTAAATGGATTTTAAATTTTCTCAAGGTTTCATTACAGATGCAAATGTACTTAGATTTTATTTATATTTACAATACGTTAATTTTTTTAAGGATGAATGAAAATTTTTTTTTACCATACCTTCGTAAATAATTGGTTCTTTTTCCCTAAAATATGTGAGTGCGGGAAATGTCTTGATGCCATACTGTTTCGCCAAACGTTTGTCGTTGATTTTGACAAAATCAACTCCAAATGTATCCGTGTCATCGTCTATTTTCTCTAATTCAGCAAGAACCTTATCGCATGTTGTACAACTTCTGGCATCTGAAAAATCAATCGATTTAATATGCTAGAAGTTTTAAAAATTACATACGTAAAAATGTGAAACACTTTCATTAGATGATTTTATCTTTACATTTTCATGAAAGTATTTTTCATGTGATATAAACAAGTATTACGATCAGTGAATAAAAAGATTTTATTATGGAATGCTGTAAATTTTGTAATTAGAAACATTTGCAAGAGTATTAACTGAAACAAAGTAGAATTTTGTTGGAGATGTTGTAACAAATGCTGTAAATGATGGTACTGAAGTTGTAGTAGATGATACTGGAAAAATGTGCTTTAAAAAATAGTACAGAAGAAGAAGCTATGTAAAATATTGCAAAAGATGTGGTAGAGAATATTTCAGAAGATACTGTAGAGAATATTGCAGAAGATACTATAGAGAATGGTGCAAAAGACGCTATAGAAAATGCGAGCACGTCTAAAAAGATACAATCAATTTTATGGATAATAATATTAGAAGCGTTTTAGAAGATTTTTACAGGGTGTGATACAAAAGTGATGGAAAAAGTAATGTAAGGATATTTTAATAGATGCTAAAGTGATACTTTTTCTATAAGAATAATTTAGTCAGTGTAATATTTCTCTATTAAATATTCTATACTGCAGAGGAATGATACGATAATGAAATGGAAGATTTTCTAAGAAGTGCTATGACGAGATAAAATATATTCTAAGGATAGCTATGATAAAATGGAAGATATTCTAGAAAAGCTGTAGTGAAAGATGTAATGCAAGTTTCTGTGTGCCAAAAATCTTTACTATCTTCCGTAAAGATGCAGGGGATGCTGTCCTAAAGAGGATACTATAATGATAACGGATATTCGAAAAATGTTACTGATAATTCAACTAAAATTATGCTAATAAATATTATAGATCATCCAGAAAATGCTACACAAGGTCTTGCACTAGATACTGCAAAAAAATTTCGAAAGAAACTAAAATAAACTCCAAAATACACTTCAATAGATGCTCTGAAAGAAACTCTTAAAAGATATTCTAAAAGATGCTTCAAAAGAAACTTCAAAAGATACTGCAAATGAAATTCCAAAAGAAACTTCAAAATATGTTCCAAAAGAAACTCCAATAGATGTTTTAGGGGAAAGTGCAAAAGATACTCTAAAAGACACTCCAATATCGCTCTAAGAGAAACTCCTAAAATATATTCCAAAAGATGCTTTAAAAGAAATTCCAAAAGAAACTTCAAAATATACTTCAAAAGAAACTTTAACAGATACTCTAGGAGAAAATTAAAAAGAAAAGAAAACTGTAAAAGATACACCAAAAGCTGCGTCAAAAAGAATTATTAAAGATACTCCAAAAAAAATTCAGTAGACGTTCTGAAAGAAACTCTAAATGATATTCCAAAAGAAACTCCTATGGACGCTCTAAAAGAAACTCTAAACGAAACTCCAAAAGATGCTTTAAAAGAGACTTCAAAAGAATTGCTAAAGATACTCCAAAAGAAACACCAATATACACTACCGTCGGGAATTATCGGTACGGCTGCACGCGCACGGCCCAAAAACATACCAATCTTTAAATCACGATTTTTTGTAAATATAAATGTCAGAAAATTAACAAATATACCATTAGAAAGATTATTCAATTCTACGATTAATGGTACATAACTAAAAATTTTAATAATTTATACAAAGATTGCAGCAATTGACAAATTTGACAAAAAAATTTTAAAAATACAATTTTTTTGGAAATTTTTTCAACCCCTGCACACTTTTTAAAAATTGCAGAAAAAATTTGAAACTTATATAGGTGTGATTATTCAAGTCTCATCTTTAATTTAAGACCAAAAGAATTCAAAAATCTTAATCGGTTAGCGAGATATCATTATAAACGGACGAGCATTTTCAGCCAAAAACCGTTCAAAATCGACTAATTCACTGCATTTGTCAAAAAACATGCTCGGACGTTTATAATGATATCTCACGAACCGAATAAGATTTTTAAACTCTTTTGGTCTTAAATTAAAGATGAAATTTGAATGATCACACTTATGTAAGTTTCAAATTTTTTCTACAATTTTTAAAAAATGTGCAGGGGTTGAAAAAATTTCCAAAAAAATTGTATTTTTAAAATTTTTTTGTCAAATTTGTCGATTGCTGCAATCTTTGTATAAATTATTAAAATTTTCAGTTATGTACCATTAAGGGGTTAAACCACTCTAGAGCGTCAAAAAGAGGTTCTAATTTCAAAATTTTTTTTAAAGAAAAGTTTAAAAGTAATGAGAAATATGTTTACATATCTCTATCAGGTACACTTTAAAGAGAAAAAAATATACTTTATAAATTTTTTTTGTTTAAAAACTGCAGATGTACATGTACGTGATGGAAACTCTTTGTAAAAAGAAATCCTTCGCGGCCGGAAAGGTTTTTGGTACAATTTTGATCCTAGAACAAAAAACAAATTTTTTTCTATTTTTACATCTCAATAGCTAGAGAAAGACGTAGGGGATTTTTTTTATGTTTCATATTTTTTTAGTTATAAACAATTTAGTGCCTATTTTTTCAGTCAAAAACTCAGTTTTTCCATAAAATGTTCACCATTTTTGCAAAAATCGATTTAAAAAAAATCCCCTACGTCTTTCTCTAGCTTTTGAGATGTAAAAATAGAAAAAAATTTGTTTTCTGTTCTAGGATGAAAATTATACCAAAAACCTTTCCGGCCGCGAATGAATTCTTTTTACAAAGGGTTTCCATCACGTGCATGTACATCTGCTGTTTTTAAACAAAAAAAAATTTATAAAGTATTTTTTTTTCTCTTTAAAGTGTACCTAATAGAGATATGTAAACATATTTTTCATTACTTTTAAACTTTTCTTTAAAAAAAATGTTGAAATTAGAAGCTCTTTTTGACGCTCTAGAGTGGTTTAACCCCTTAATCGTAGAATTTAATAATCTTTCGAATGGTATATTTGTTAATTTTCTTACATTTGTATTTACAAAAAAATCCTGATTTAAAGATTGGTATGTTTTTGGGCCGTGCGTGTGCAGCCGTACCGATAATTCCCGACGGTAGTGTAGGTTCAAAAGATCATCCAGAAAATACCTTAAGAATGCTAAAGTTGTAGAATTATAAAAATGTTACGGAACATGCTAAAGATAATATTAGTGCAATTTTGCTATAAAAATATTACAGAACATCTCGGCAATAGTACTTATTAGTAATGCAAAAGTCTAGAAGAAATTTTAAATAAACAGAAAATCACTAAAAATAATGCTAAAGATACTACGGAAGATGATGCAAATAATGCTATACAAGGTCTTTCACAAGATGTTCTAAAGGATCTAATCCAACTGAATTCAGAAGTACCTTAAATTATTTTCCAGAAGATTTCATAACGAATAATACAAAGTATTACTGAAAAAGAATTTATGAAAGTTAAACAAACTGAGTAACAGAAGATGATATTTAAGAACTAAATATGATGCTAAAGATGCTACGGAAGATGATACAGATAATTTAATGTTAATAAAATAAAAGTATAATCTACAGAAAATGCTCCAATTAATCCAAACCAATCCGAAATATACCTTAAATGATTCTTTGGAAGGTATTATAGAAAGGTGCTGAAAATTTTGCTTCAAGATTCTGTAAATTATGCTGCGGATGAAGCTATCCAAAAATTAAAGTAGATACTGAATTCAACAAAATGATGCTATAGAATATTCTTTGAAAGATGTTCCAAAAAACGTTCTACAAAAAGCATAAAAGGATAGTACTAACTATAACACTAAAATTATACAAGAGGATAATTAAAATAAGGAAAATTGGATTACAGATTGTCTAGACAATGCTGCAGAGGATGCACCAAAAAATTCTCAGAAGAACACAAAAAGATATAAATTATTTTGGAAAGATTATTGTTATTACTTTTGTCCATAAATTGTTGTCTAGCAAATATTCCAGAGCACAAAAAGTGCTATTACAGATCATTTAGACGATGCTACATACGATGCTCTAAAAATACTCTAAAAAACACCAAAAGGTGTGACAAATTATTTCCTAGCATTTATCCTAGAGGATGATACGAAGCACATTCCAAAAAATACTCTACATAACACCAAAAGGTATGATAAATTATTTCTTAGCAGATATCCCAGACGATGATACAAAAATAGTATTACTAATCATCCAGACGATGCTACAGATGATGCTCAAAAAAAGGTGTGATACATTTTTTCCTGGCATATTTTCCAGAAGATAGTACAAACCACAATCCAAAAAATACTTTACAGAACACCAAAAAGTATGATGTATTTTTTCCTAGCAGATATTTCAGAGGATAACACAAAAATATAATTACATATCATCCAGACGATGCTACATTTATGATGCTCTAAAAATACTCTAAAAAACACCAAAAGGTGCGACAAATTATTTCCTAGCAGAAATTCCAAAGGATAATACAAAAAATGCTTGAAAGTATGCTAGAAACAATGCAACAAATGATTAATAAAATTAAAGATAATTAGTAATGATTAATTAATTATTAATTAAGATTAATTAAGATTCAGATTAAGATTAATTAAGATAATTACTAATGATTATCTCTAAGATGATGCAATTGAATTTGTGAATTGAATGCTATTCGTCAATGCAGATCACCCGGTTAATGATACACAAGACTTTCCTGATAATTTTCAAAAAGATACCCCAAAGAAATCTTAAATTATTTCTTAGAAACTTTCCTAAAATGATACATGAAGTACCAAAAAGGAAGACATAAAGATTGCTACAAAAAATACTTCCAAAAATTTCTATATACCAAATATCGAAACGTTAGAGAAAATTCTACGAAAAAAATAACGAAGAACATCATCAGTAATAATATCAAAAAAACAATACTGTAGTAAATATTATACTAAAAAATTTAGTAATATTCAAATACATAGCATACTTGTTATTTAACATACATTACTAATGCTCTAATAAAAACATCACATTGCTATTTTCAAACT